AATAGGAAGCGTAACTTTCACTTTCTGCTTTTGGGTGAAAATGCATGATGTTCTCCTTATCTGGCACTGTCAACAGGCTCTGTAAGATGGGATCTGATCTGAAAATCAGTGCTGTATGCATGTTATATCAAGTCTCCTTGGCGCTATATGATTTTTATCTCTGTTCGGGATATAATACTTACTAGTTAAGTGAATTAGTCATGTTGAATTAGTATGCAAGAAGCTTGTAATGGAAATATGTAAGTCAAAATGGCAACTTTACTATTTAGTAATTTGCATAAAACACCTAATTTGTACAATATTATGATTATTCTCTGATATATCTGATGTGACATTGTGTAGAAAGAGCCAGTCTCTTCATATTTCAGTATCTTTTAGAGTTTTGCAAGAACCGCACATAGACAGTATTGTGTCAAAGTTTGCAAACTGCTCAGGCAAATAATATTGTCAGTGCTTTTCTAAAATCTTGATAGAGAAAAAGACATTATGTACTGTAAATAGTCAAAAGTCTAGCTTCTGAGACTACATCTAATTTATAGAAGCTCTCATGGCTTGAAATGTTCGAAATGTCTATTGTGCTAAATTTTGACATTAGAGAAGCACAGTAAGCAAAGTGCGTGTATCAGAGCTCATTAGACATTTGCAAATTGCTGTCTGTCAAAAAAGAATTCTGAGAATGTTTTGGGGATCTTCCGTAATAGTTTCAGAGGTTGTTTTGTCGCTGATGGAGATGACTGGCGGCGTAGAGGGTGTGTGTGTGTGTGTGTGTGTGTGTGTGTGTGTGTGTGTGTGTGTGTGTCTGAGTTGTGTTACCACAGAGAAATCTAGATTAGGGTGAAGCACTGAATGAAGCCTGGGCTGATTCTTGTAAATGGCCCTGTGAAATAAGCCCTGTTTCAAAATCTAAATGCAAAATTCTGGGTTCATTAAAAATAAATAAATAAATATTAATGGTGTTAAAAATAAATGCTGTTATTTTGAACTTTGTATTTATCAATGAATCCTAAAACAAAACCCACAAAAAATATACAATTTTTAGCTGCACAACTTTTTTCAACATTGATAAAAAACATTTAAAAAATCACAAAAAAATCTGAAATTCAAAAAGCCATAAATCTAAATAAGTGGTGTTTCGAATCTGAGGTAGATATCACAAAACATTAAAGGGATCATATGATGCAATTTCAAGTTTTCCTTTCTCTTTGGAGTGTTACAAGCTGTTCGTGCATAGATAAGATCCCTAAAGTTGCAAAGACTAAAGTCACAAACAGAAAAAGATATTCTTTATAAAATTTAAGACACGTCCACGCCCTCCTAAAACACCCTGTTTAAACACGCCCCCACATGTCTACGTCACTGTGTGGGAAGATTTGCATAACGCCGCCCAAATGTTTACGCAAAAAAAGAATGTGTAACTTTGATTCTCGCTGTAGTATTGCTGCCACCACCGCCATGTCGTGGAGGCTCGGTGTGTTTCACTGTGAAAGCATTTTACGGAGGACTGTTTCCTGAACCTGGGAGAGTATAGCCTACAATGCCGACTGTTCTGACTCACAGCCTGTAAGTACGTTTTCATATTTAAAGAATTTGCCACTGATGATTCAAACGCGAGTTTTGAGCAGTGTAGAGTAGCGCTTGTTGTTTGTCGTTTCTCCGATCACAAATGCAGACATGGTTTTATGTTTACGTGGCGCGATACGCAATGCAACGTGTAAAAAGACAGTATAAGGCATTATAATCAGTAATTATGTCCCCACTGGATGCTAAAAATGGCTCGTTTGTAATGGGTTTTATTGGTGTTGTCTCATTGTGCCGTTTTGTTTGCCCACAATAACAAATGTTTCCACCAGATGAATTTGCCCATCTGCCACAATTCCAATACGGTGACCACAAACAGTGAAAATGTGAGTATTTTTTGCAACACCATAACTTTTTCAAAACATGTCCATGATTTTTTTTTTTCACATAGCAAGTGCCAAAACCTTTACCAAGTTTAGTAAATAAATAAAAGTAATTATATATATATATATATAAAATACATACATTATATATATATACTGTATATATATAGAGAGAGAGCGAGAGAGAGAGAGAGAGAGAGAGAGAGTTCACATTTTTCTTGTTCAGAATACACATTAAAATCAATAGCGTCCAATATATTCATTCAGTTGTACATTTGCCAAAATGTAAGCATCAAATCAGCATATTAGAATGATCTCTGAAGGATCATGTGACACTGAATACTGGAGTAATGATGCTGCTGAAAATTCAGCATTGCATCAAAGAAATAAATTACATGTTTAAATATATTCAAATAGAAAACAATTATTTTAAATTGTAATAATATTTCACAATATCACTGTTTTTACTGTATTT